CCCACAGGTTCAGAAATAACCGCACAGGATCTCAAACTCATGACTGGAGAGTTTGACATTGAGAGCATTCACCATTTGGATCTAAGCAAAAAAGGTTTTTTATTTAAATCTTTAAGCTTATTTTACGAGGGTAACAAATTAATTATAACCCCCCCTCCTTTTTCACTCAAGCAAACTATTCGGGAAATGTCTAATTTTTGTTCTTGCTGTTCTCTTGTTAGGCATTCAAGACCTCAGTGTTATTGGAAAGTGTACYGGACTGGTTTATCTAAATGCTTCTCATAATCACATAAGATACCTCCGACCCTTAGGTTATTATTAGTGCATAAATTGTTTAAGCATGACATACTGTTTTTTTTTGCACCTGAGCCCCACTCTAAAGAATAGGGTCCATAATCATTGGCAAACATTGAGGACAGCAATGCCACATGATGACATGTCATGATTACACTTTTACAGGGCCACTTACACAGCTAATCAATCAAAAAGTAGAATGAAATAAATGCATTTCAACTTTGGATATTTGAGCCAATCARATACCTGGGCTTTATGAGAACAGTAATTTGCCTTAATATTACATCTAARTAACCAGATAGCCATTGTYATTTTCTCATGGGAATAAAATTAAGATGTGTTAAAACCCTATTGTTGTTGCTTTTGGCTTCTGTTTCAGTAGTTGCACTGYAAAATGGCTTTACATTATTTATGCATGCCATTGTCCTAAGGATTAATTTCCTAGCTAGAATGTTAGTTGAGAGAACAGAAATGCTGAAGATATGCATGAAAAACACACTTGTCATCATCTTCCCATCGTTGTCCTGGATGCTTGTTAGTGCTTACAGTCCCTAATAACTACCACCTATTAGTGAATGAACCAAATTTCTGGACATTATTTTATTAATAACRTATTATAAAACAAAAACTACAAATACTAGCATTTACTCACCTTTTCCACATTCATTAATTCCATGCTTTTTGACCCTTTTTAAGGGTTTAATACTTCTAATATGTTTTGTTTTTATGCAGGTGACCTGAAGCTGCTTGAGAACCTTGACCTTTCTTGTAATAATATCTCATCATTAGGTATGCTCCAAGCAGATATTTTGCTTTTCTTTTTCCTCACTCTTATTCTGTCTTCCAAGTGTATTTTTTGTATTACCTTTTCCGATGTATGACAAATATTTGATCCAACTTGACCAATAAATACTTGTTTAATGTACTGTATTTATGAGTCTATTGCTTTGGCAATCTTGTTTTGCAGATGGTCTTGAGGGGTTGGATARCCTTGTGCATTTGAATGTTGCTGGTAACATGATGAGAAGGTTAGTTGTTGGTAGCATGAATATAATATTACCAATAATCCATTTGTTCATTCATTCATCTTTCTTCAATCCATCAATCCTTCCATCTATCAGTCCATCATTCATTTACTCACCTATCCAACTATCTAGTTTTCCATCCTGCAACAATGTATCCTTCCATTTATCTTTCCTTCCATTCATTAATCCATCCATCCATCCATCCATCCATCCATCCATCCATCCATCCATCCATCCATCCATCCATCCATCCATCCACCCACCCATCCATCCATCCATCCACCCACCCATCCACCCATCCACCCACCCACCATTTATTCACATTTGTTTATGATCCCAATCCAGTACAGATGATTTAAAGTGTTTATCAAAGCTTGAAAAACTCAGAAAACTGAGGTTAAAAGACAGCATTCACAACTACTCAAACCCAGGTGAGTGAACCATAACTCAACTATTGCTTCATACATCATCCCCTCCCCCTCCCCCCACCCCTAGGGCTGAGCTACGCAGAGTATACATCACATACCAAATTGTTTTGTTGAAACGTCTCTAACTTTTGTTGTTGTATTAGTCTGTCAAACCACGAGTCAGTACAAGAAAGTGATCTCCAATGTCCTACCTCAGCTCACGTCACTAGATGGTAAGAAATTACTGGATTATTTGTTGTTTCATGAAATCGATATAAGGATTAAATAATGATTATTTATTATTTTTATTATTGAATTCTAGGAGAACGAATAAAAGGCAAAGGGAGTGATTTCTATGACACTTGTGATGAACTGGATGCTGAACTAAAAAGTATAATAGTGTTTATATTGTCGTACATGTGAAATCTATTCGAACGAAATCATTATATAAAATTTCAATGTTTTTCCTATTTTTTCTAGTTTTCTTTCCTCTGCAAAAAATCTAATTCAATCTTTCGGAAACCTTATAAATAGACCTTTTCTGATTATGAAACAATGGTTTCAAGTCGAGATTGGATTGACGAATTATATATACATAAAACAAACGAGTTCAGTCTCGATTTCGAACTATTGTTTCGTGGTCATTCAAGCAAATTTGGGAAAGGTTACTATATTGGGTTAAAAATCTGCTGAGATTAAACTCTAACACTAATTTATTCRCATCAGTGTGAAAGGAGATCTTGAGGTTAGCCCTATCGTGAATATCTCCTAGGATTGGATTAGAATTTAGTAGTTGTTTTTGCGGAGGGAGGAGAAGCCAGAGAACCCAGAAAACCCTCAATGCACAAGTGAGAGAACAAACAAACAATCACATACAACACCGAGCTTGTTGGGACTCGAACCCGGGTTCTCATTGGTGAGAGGCGAGCCCTTTCACAGCAGCGCCACCCATACTTCCATAAAGCCTTTGTTCAACCACATGGAGCATGTGCAACTATTGAGTCATAATAAATAAAAATTACTTTACTTTGGAATAATCATCAAACCCCTATTGATGATGGAAGATGAGCATTATCTGATCCCTGACTTGTAATAAAAACTCTGTTACGTCTTTGTTTTTGAAACTGATGTTTAGATTACACTGAAAGTTGTGGTGATCCACCAGCATACAAGTCAGCACCCTGGCCATCAGGTTAGCTTCATAAGATCATATGTTATACATGGTATTTTCTTCTAACGTTCTTAAGTTATGACACTTGAGTTGAGAGTTATATGCTTATATTATTATATTTAGCGGTAGTGAGTGATTTGTATGCTCAGGAAGAGTCACTAACGACACCCTTCTCAATCAATGCATAGATTAAAAGGTTCATTCATTCACTCATCCATTCATTCATCCATCCATCCATCCATATCCATCCATTAATTAATTMATTTACTTATTTATCATTATTTAATAGGAGCATTCATAGAGGGAGACAAACCACTAAATAGATGTGTTGAAGAAGCAGAATTAGGATTTAATGGTAAGAACATTTAATTTTAAATTATTTTTACATTTACATACATTTTACATAGTGATGGAACTATTTTACATAAAAGTGTGATTKTTTTTGTTCCACTTGCAGACGTGTTGTCACTTTGTAGAAGAGCGAACACTGAAGCCTTGCAGAGTGTAATTGATGCAGACAGTGCAAGATGGAGTAAATGAAACAATACTATCAATTTAAAGCGCAACGCGCAAATGTATGACCACATATGCTCGGGTTCTGTACATTAAACCGACACACTTTGATGCGAAGCTGGCTGGTTTTACCGAAATAAGGCATGCAAACGCTCGTTTGGCGGGAAAAAGACAGAAAAAGATATTAGAATGAAGTCGTAGAAGCTATTTCACAGGGACAGCAAAGCAAGCTTAAAAATGGTGGGGCTGGATTAGCGACTTAAACTACCAGGCAAAACCACCAGGTTTACCTATYTCAAATAGTTCCTCCTCCTGGCATGCATATATTTCAACATGGAATCGCAAGCTCAATACGATAGCTATTTCATCGCATAGAGTCATGGCCAATCAAACGGCTTTAAATAATTTAGGAATATTGATACATATAAATTTAACTAAGTTTGGTTAAAGCAATAATTACTTCCAAAAAGAGTTGCAAAAATAATTCGCTCAATAAAAGAACCCGAAAAAAATGTATTAGTATAGGAAATCGCACGATCTCGAGTCCAAATTGAACGAGAAGATCTTGCGATTTTTTGTTTATAGTTTACTCAACAAAATTTCAGTAAAAAATGCGAAGCGACGCCGTTCATCTTTGTCTTTTTGGCGGCCGATTTTCATTCCATCGCGCAACTGAAATGCATAAAAAAGATTAGTTCTTATTAGTTTTTACGGCTTTTTCTTTTTTCCGCTGTTGACAATGTTTTGGCCGTGTTTCCATAGCGACTTAATTCGGTTCTCCTACGGAGTACAATTAACGCTATAATTGTGCTCCTATCGACCAATCAGAGTCGAGTAATTTTGTTGAGTGTACTATAATATTAAATATAAGATAATACCAGAATTATGGAAATATCCAGGTTTGCTACTCCTTAAACTCCTTGAAAACTCCTTGAATTTAATTCACGTTTCCAAGGGCACTTTGAAAAGCTCTTGAATTTTACGATTTTAGCGAAACTTCATGAAAAACTCCTTGAATTTTTGCTTTGATCATTACTTGCATGGTTCTGAAATAGATCTAGTCAGAAAGATCAGAAAATCTAAAAGTCGGCCATGTGCAACCACCGTGTAAAACCTTGGCATAGTTAGCTGGACGTACTCCTTGAAAATTCATTTTTAGGTCCTTGTTTACTCCTTGAATAGTTCTTGAATCTTAAGTGGTTACCTCAGCACGAACCCTGGATATTGYTCATCAAGATAGCTAGGCGGAAAGGGATATTGTTTCCCTGTAGGAAAATACACGGAAACACGTACAATTTCAATTTATTAAGAAATTTGACCAAATCAGCCAGGAATGAGCAATAAAATTGATAACTTTGGCTGACTTACTTCAAGTCAGCTYTTTTACTCCGACGAAGGACTAGCGTCCGAAACGTCAGTAAGTTTTTTCATCTTTTCATGGTGTATAATTTATCTTTTCATCATTACTGTTTCATTAGAAACACCGACGCAGCTCACACTAGTTTTTAGCTAGTTATATCTTCTTATTACTTCAAGTCGGTGAAGATTTCCGATATCTCGGTGAAGAATACGTTTCCTTTCGATCAAACAACAGCGATCGTTTCCTCCCTCAAAAACGGTACATGCWACCATTCCAAGAAAAAAGGTATCTTAAATATTGATTTCTTTCAAAAATAACCTGCTTCGTCAAATTTACTGTGCATGGCACTGAGGTTTGTTGTTTTGACAAGCGATAATAAGAATACGGAATATGAAAAAATTCTTGGGGCGCTGTTGGAGCTTTAAAGAGATAAGGAATATCTTATACTGCAATGATATCTTCTTTWAAAGACAGCGAAAATGACGAATGAATCAGGGAGGTTGGAGGGAGATGCCGAGATGAAACTGAATATATAAGTATACGATTTCACACATTGGGGGATGTTAGGTACGCTTCAGCGATAAACGCATTTGCCTCCCTCCCGTAAGCTTGCTTTCTTCCTTTCTTTCTTCCTTTCCATTCATTTTAATGGGTTCAGTCTGTGAGCTTWGCGCCGTGCTCTGCCTAGGCCTTCGATCAGCCCAGAGGTTGTTCCAGAGCTCGATCGATCTGTGAGTTAACCGTGCCATGACTCCATCCATTATCAGCCTATAGAGATTCAGTTTCAGAGTATCTAAGAAATTTTAAGGACTTTTTTACATTTTAATTGGAAAAAAAATTGAACAAGAGAAAGATGAAAAATTATTCAAAAACTTTATTACRATATCCATTTATTTAGACACGAACGAAAGATGATTTATAGTGGCCGACCAGGAGGCTACAATTGAAATAATTAGAAAGCTTGAAAGAGAAGATAAGGATACTTCTAACCCCTCAGGCTTGCCGGGATCTGGAAATTTCCACTAATATAAYACTGATCATTTACAATACCTGTAAAACTCTACTTTACTAGCATCATACACCGCACTTTTTATCCAGATCGAATTGACGGCGGCGGTTGATTATTAGCTGGTAACAGTTTTCGGTTAAACTGAAGGTGAGTTCAAAACTTAAAAGTCAGGATACACGATTTTAATATATATCTAAAGCAGTTAATCATGTAATATAATACCATAACGCCGCTTTAAATATATTTCTATAGCTATTAAATAAAATTTCTTTTTTTCGAAAGAGCATGCATAAAAAATAGTCAAAAAAGGTAAAAAACGCACAGGAAACAATTTAAATGTGTCAATAGAGAGTTTTAGATTGACTTTTTTTTCTCCCCGCAAACGGCAAACGTGACCACGTTTTCATAGTTTTCCTTTATTTTACTTTACCTTTTACAAACCTTCTCAACAAGCGCAARTACTCTTTTGCTTTTCTACTACTTGGACTTTTTTGCGATTCTTTTTCAGTAATTTAAAAGAATTTTTTACTGGTCAACTGACGTTTCACGTTTGCCGTGAACGTAAATCTAAAACTCTCTAATGTTGCATATTACCCCAGGAAAACCTTTCTCACAAATTCTTACTAGTACTAAGCTAGGCTAAAGCGTCATCTGCGTCATCGTACCATGAACTTGAAGTTGCTTTTCTTACGTTTATTCATCAATTACTTTTATCGGTTTTCCCCTGGCTATAAACATTGGAAAGTCGGTTCTACGATTCAATAAGGGAAAATCTATTTGAGTAAACTCCTTATCATAGTACAGGACTTGTTTTGATTGTAATCTTTTAATATACGAAATCTTTTTCTCGGCGTTTTTGAAGAGATTTTTAAAATCCGGTTTGGTAGATCGATTTGCATAGATTTTTAAGAGTTGTTTGTTGAGAGTCTGCTGAGGGATATAAGTACTGCATTTTTTTGAGAGCCGTTTATCACCCCACTCAAAATGTGAAGCCTTCGAGCTATGTTCATGGTTCGAGTGTCCRTACTGTAAATCGAATAACAGTTATTTCTAATTCAATAGGTTTAATTATTCTTTCTTTAATGAATACAAATTTGAAGCGGTGACTGTTATTCTTTTCAATTCAAACCTCGTTTTTAGCAAGTATAGTTTACGCTACGATATTCTATATAAAACAAGCGAAAATCGCCAAAATTCGTCTAGCAAACAGCTACCCATTCACACCAAGGCTTAAACATGTTTTAAAGTGGTTTAACTAAACAGGTTTAAAAAACTATCTACGAACACTGCACAATACTTTGTGAAATAGTGCATGTAAGCTATCCTTTGTCTTGCTCTGATAATATTTTAGAAAGTTTCATTATATTGTAGGTTTCTAGTTTCTCAATTTTTTTCCTAATGAAAACACAGTTTAGCTAAACACGTTTAGGTGTGAATATGGTACTTAGATTATTAAATTTAAATTTAAAGTCGCGGTTACTTGTGTTGCTCGACTTCAGAATCATAAAACATAAGTAGAAATTTAAATAACGTAATTAAGATGGAAAACCCTACTAATTACCTAGATGCTACATCGGGGGAAATAAGCGAAAGGTTTACAAAAATAATACTCTACAAGATTGTACTAGAAATAAAAGGTTTATTAAGAAAAACCTACACATAAACTAAGATTTTTATTGCCAGCAGTGTTTTATTTTTCATATTTGGTCTTATTCTTTCTGCATTTTTAATTCTCCTAGTTTAGTGTAGTGTCAYTAGGCGATCAAGAAATACGATGAATACTCTGGACAACTCAAAAAAGAACAATTAGCTATAAAAAGATAGCATTTGACTTGTTTGGTCAAAAAAGTATGGGGGCCCTCAGCAGTCCCTCAAGACTCTTTCTCAAGTTAAACTTTTAAACAGGATGTTTGTCAAGAGCTTCGTAGCTTTGCGAAAGCACCGGTTGTCTAAATTYCTTTTCGCGAAAAGCCGAACATCTTGAAAACGTCACAAAACGAAAAATACTATTTTTTTACGAACATCATTACGAGCGAATCTTTTTTCAACGGACCTTGGTTAATTATGCACGGGCAGTAATGACAAGTACTAAATATGGGAAGGAAAATATAAAAGTCTCTCGCTGCGCCGTTCAGTTTGTCAGAGAAGAGAAGCTAATTTTCTGACGTATACGGCGCTTAGTCCGGAATTTCAATTTTAATTTTAAAAACACCGACAGTAAAGGATGAGTTGATTACCTTAATCGACAAACATACAAATTAAACTAGAAACGACTATACCTAAAGAATGGCTTGAAGATTGGACTATAAAATACGCATTCATCATAAGAGACCTACAGACCAAGATGAGAGGCTACGCTAAAAATCTCGTAAACAAACAAAAAAAGCAGAATTTGTACACACGAGTCTAATCTCTTGTGCTTGATTTTTCGTTAATTCCCAAAGTTAAAACGCGTCGTCATAGAAACTTAGAATCTTTGTATAGGGGGAGAGGGCCTTGAAAATAATCTTCCAAGTTGGTAAGAAAAATCACCTCCGTCATAAACCCACGCTACCCACAATATATCCAATGTTTGTTTCCAAGCTGGTAACAAAAGGGATCTTAAAGTTTAGTGGATTGTTACTGTGACTACGATTAAGGCGCGGACCGGTACTGCTTATTAATTGTCGTGCATCTTCCACTTGCTCGACGAAGAACTGTAAATGTGCCGTTTTGGTGTCTCTGTAAAACCAACAGCACTTCAACAAGACTTGTGAGTATGATTTAATATACTTTTTCGTATTCAAATTAAACATAGAAAGAAAGATAACAACCACGCTAGCGCTTGCCAACATGACAATCAATTTAATTTTGCACTAAAATGGCTTCCATCACGATCCTTACA